TCAATTCTTTGGCTCTCAGCCTTTCTTATGGTCCAACTTTCACAGACATACATTGCAACTGGGAAAACCATAGCCTTGACTATACACACTTTTGTTGGCAGGATGATGTCTCTGCTTTTAAGTATGCTGTCTAGATTTGCCATACCTTTCCTCTCCAGGAGCAAGCCTCTTTCCTCCTCTTCTTCACTGATAGCCCTCAAATACTGGAAGACAGTTATCATGTTCTCCCTTCATCCTTCTCTTTGATAGGCTAGACATATCTAGCTCCCTAACCTCTCCACCATAAAATTCAGCCTCCAGAACCTTCTACTAGTAGAGCTTCCACTGCTCCGACCCCTGAATCCAATAAGGGAGGGGAAAAATGGCCCTTTCCTCAAACCCAACCCTTCCCTAGTTAGAAAGGTTAGTATTAGATCACTAGGATCCTTTAACCTCTGCAAGTGTGCCTAAAAGCTGTGAGGTTAGTGGGATAGAATTCCTGTTGGTGTATGGAAGATGGAAAAGAGCCACAGTGCTGCAGTGGTTAGAGTGTAGTATTGCAGGCTATGTCTGCTGATCACTGGCTGCCTGCAGTTTGGTAGATGAAATCTCACCAGGCTTAAGGTTGACTCAGCCTTTCATCCTTCCTAGGGGGGTAAAATAAGGACCCCGTTTGTTTGGGACGATTTGCTGATTCTGCAAACCACTTAGAAAAGGCTGTAAAGCACTATGAAGTAGAATATAAGTCAGTGCTATTGCTATTGCTATTCTGGGTGCACCCTTCCCTGGAATAGATTACCGATATAGCCTAGAAAAACCTTTCCGCCCATTAATTATTGCAATTAGGAAATGTAATATTTAGTTAGTTTTTCCTAGCCTAAGAATTGCATGTTACATATTATTGAAAATAACCAGAATGGGTTATCTGAACATCTCAATGGGTCAACCTTTACCTTTCTTATTATACGTTATCCATGTAATTCTGGGAAATCATTGACTTCCTGACTCTTGACTCTGTCACCGGAGGAAGAAAGTTTCTCCCCCCCCCCAAAAAAAAAGGACCAACTCACATTTTTCTATTTTCTTGGTGGCAGTGGAAAATGGAATCTTTTCTTTTTTTGCCTCTCTTCTAAATCTAAATTGTGAAATTAAGCTGTGCTAATATAATATAGGGATGTGGTGGCTCAGTGACTAAGACACTGAGCTTGTCAATTGGAAAGGTCAGCAGTTTGGTGGTTCGAATCCCTTGCACCGTGTAATGGAGTGAGCTCCCATTACTTGTCCCAGCTTCTGCCAACCTAGCAGTTCGAAAGCACGTAAAAATGCAAGTAGGAAAATAGGAATCACCTTTAGTGGGAAGGTAACAGTGCTCCATGTGCTTTTGGCATTTAGTCTTGCTGGCCACATGACCATGGAGACGTCTTCAGACAGTCAGCTTTGAAACAGAGATGAGCACTGCTCCCCTGGAGTCGGGAATGACTAGCACAAATGTGCGAGGGGAACCTTTACCTTTACCTTTAATATGTAGGTCTTCCAAACATGTTCAATTATAGCAAATTGATGAAATATGCTGGCAATTTTTATTTTACTATCACAGACTGTTCCATCATCCCAGTTTCCAGATGTGAAAAAGCTCCTTAGGAATTTGGACAAGAGAGAGAAGGATCTAAAAACGATACCTGTATATTTCCTTTTATTGCATTTGGTCCACTACTAAAATCAATAGTCCGGGAAAAGGGATGTGTGGGGAGGATACCAGAATATTGATTTTGTTTTATTTAGATTACATTTTAGCTTATTAGTTTGACTGCCTTGAATAGAAAGAATAGATTTTTGCCCACTATTTATCTGACCTACTTTAGTGCTAAGATAGACTTCTGATATATGGGTGGGGCCTAGAATCCCTCCCTCGTTTGCAGGTCTTTTTAAGTATTTTTATTATTGCTATCTTATTAAATGGACACAGTGGCTCAATGGCTAAGATGCTGAGCTTGTCAATTGGAAAGGTCAGCAGTTTGGCGGTTCGAATCCCTAGCGCCGCGTAATGGAGTGAACTCCCGTTACTTGTCCCAGCTTCTGCCAACCCAGCAGTTCGAAAGCACGTAAAAATGCAAGTAGGAAAATAGGAATCACCTTTAGTGGGAAGGTAACAGTGCTCCATGTGCTTTTGGCATTTAGTCTTGCTGGCCACATGACCATGGAGACGTCCGGACAGCGCTGGCTCTTCGGTTTTGAAATGGAGATGAGCACTGCCCCCTAGAGTCAGGAACCATTACCACATATGTGCTAGGGGAACCTTTACCTTTAATATGATATGAAGATTTCTGAGATGGTGCAAATATAATCATTTCTTCTGAACCTTTCATTGTTGTGGCTCAGTTGAGACATTTGAAAGACCATCAACCCAACAATTATTCCTTCTGGTTTTCCTCAGCTTGCTATTTAAGCAGACACCAAGCACAAAGATTACAACAACACTCCAAAACTGTGTTAATGTTAGCCTTGTTTTTACTAAGAGTTATGTCAGTTTTTTCTCTAAGAGATTTTTTTTAAGACTTCAGGATGATTGCACACTAGTACTCACATCATTTCATAGCTGTCTGTCTGTCTATTTATCTTTCTTGATTTGGTCTGTGTCAAGTGGCTAAGACGCTGAGCTTGTTGATCAGAAAGGTCAGCAGTTTGGTGGTTCGAATCCCTAGTGCCACATAATGGAGTGAGCTCCCATTACTTGTCCCAGCTTCTGCCAACCTAGCAGTTTGAAAGCACATAAAAATGCAAGTAGAAAAATAGGAACCACCTTTGGTGGGAAGGTAACAGTGTTCTGTGCGCCTTCAGCATTTAGTCATGCCGGCCACATGACCATGGAGACGTCTTCGGACAGCACTGGCTCTTCGGCCTCTGAAGCAAAATGAGCACTGCCCCCTAGAGTCAGGAATGACTAGCACATATTGCCAGGGGAACCTTTACCTTACCTTATTAAGGCACTATTAAGACTGTCTTTTCTGAAACAGTTTGTTAAAAATTCATTTAAAATATCTCCATCTGTTTTCTCTCACAACTTTCCCTAATGTAAGAAGCTTTTGTGCACACTTCTCCATAATGAGGATAATTTTTTAAAAAAACTCGCATTCCCTGAAAAATAGTTGTAATGAAATTTTTCCCATTATTCCATTTGCAATAAATTTCTTTCAGAGATGCTTTCTAAATGTAAACATCTCCGACATGAAATCTTTACCATCCATAAATATTAAGACAGTGAGAGTGAAGCAAAATTTGGAGTTTTGATTCAGTTTGAAAAAATGATCCAATCTGATTTGGATGGCCATGTTGAATCTAGTAAGCGATTTAAACAAATACATAAGAAAAGAATATGTTGCAGAATGTATTCTTACTGCTTAAAATCAATTCCTCTGTAGGTCACATGATCAGAAAGAAAAGGGGACAGGGACAGATTTAGAGTGAAGAAATTAAAAGTCTTATGATCAACTATCCAACTACCGTTCCTTTAGAAAAAAATACTGTGGGGATTTTTATTTTATTTTATTAATTTTTGCCTACAGTACCAAACCTGATCTAGCATATTTGCAAAATTTGATCTAATTTGGTTTCATTTTTGGACAGCTATCCTCTGAATTGAAGAATTGAAGAAAGTTCTCAAGCACCCATTTTTCACTTTAATTAAACAAAACAAACTTTAAAAAAAAGCAGAAAAAATAAAGAAAAGGTGTAAAGCAACGAAATTACATGACAAGAACCTTTGCATAATTTATTTCCAACATCCGTTGGGTTGGAAAGTATAAAAAGAAAACAATTCTGTGTATGTGCAGCAGCTGTCCAAGCTGTCTAAACTGATTCAGAAGCATCCAATTTGATTTTATAATTTATCTTGATTTGCTAGTTGAAGTCAGAAAAGCAGGTCCTAAGAAATCTTGTAGGGAAGACATTCATTTAACAATGTATTTTTCACAGGTAGATTTTTGGTGTGCATAGCTAAGAGAATATAGCTAAGTTAAACAGCATTCCGTGTACCTTTTGGCATTTAGTCATGTCAGCCACGACCATGGAAACATCTTCAGAAAGCGAAGGCTTTGAAATGGAGATGAGCACCGCCCCCTAGAGTCGGGAACAACTAGCACATACCTTTACCTTTAGTTAAGAGAAAAGAGCTGCTAACTAGGCTGGGACAAAGTCTGTTTTGGTAGGACTTAGAAAACAGCCATCGAAATCAGCGATGTATTTCTTTTAGAATCCTAACATCCATTCAAAAATCAACAAACTTCTGAAAGGAGAAGCAATGTCTGCACAGGGACTGCAAGGGGGAATAAAAATAAATAAATCAAGAAAGCACTATAGTCACATGGTTGAATCCTCATCTGTAATGGAATGTGTTAGATGACAATGGAGAAAGAGAGGAAGAGATGCTTTTTGGAGACAATCATAGAAGAGATGCAGGAGCCCCTCGGTGGCTAAGCGTCAAAGAAAAAAACATAGGAAGGACCCTGATTATCAGGTTGTTAAAAGTGACAGGAGGAAGTTTGTACTTTCAGAGCAAGATTCTGTTAATGTAGCCCTAAAGTAGAATTAGTTTGTCTAGCTGTGATTCCTGTCTGCTTAACCTTGCAAGTCTGAAAGTACAAAAGTACAAAACTTCCCATCGCTTTTAAGTACAACTCAAAGTACAAAACTCCCAGTGTAAACTCACGTAATAACACTAAAACTCTGCTCCCAATTGTGGTCATTAAGTCAAGAATTACCTGTATACACTTGATTGCTTCATAAAAGGCCCTGAGATCTTTCATGCAGTCCATAGATACTTTATGATCAGGCTGCACCGTTTTAAGATTCGGTCCCAGAAAAGTGTTTCAGAGTAGTTCAGGGCCATGAATGCAGCCATGCAATCTTGAGAGAAGATACAGCTGCTTTAAAGAGTTATATTCATGTCTCCATACACATTTGTATGGTAACCAGATCCACAATGTTGCGCAAATTATAATATCCTATGGCTTTGGCTTTGCTTATTTTTTTTTTTTCTAAAATGAAGGGTATTGTTGTTGAAACTCAGGTTTCTCTTTTCTGAAAGAGAGTTTTGTTCTGAAGTCAAAAAATGAAGCAGACCCTCCAGGCTTTCCACTTTTGTCTCTAATTACTTCCTTTCTTCATCAGAGGTATTTAATGAGAGAATTTGCTGTGCTACGTTAGGCTGGAAGGAGGGAGATCATGAAATGTTGCAAGGGTGTCTCCCAACTTGTCTTCTCCTCTCCTTTTTTCCCCAGTACATCTTTAATTATTACACATTGAAAATGACACACAATATAATTTAACATTATTTTAATTGCGATTCATAAATCACATTTTGATGCATATTTTGCCCTTTTTCCTCCAATAGTGGATAAGACCAATAAAGTTGAACTCATAAATGTGGTGCTTTCTAGGTGAATAATAATTTATGAGCCAATCTCTTTTTCCACTTATGGTATATAAGAAGATGTGTTCAAGTGTTCCATTTTTCATTCTGAAGCCAATATATTTTTTGTCTGCCTCTCATCTATATTCTCAAACATTGCAGTTCTATTTAGTTTCTTTAAAACATGCCGGTTACTGTGAGAGCCAGGGTTGATGTAGTGTTGAAGGGCATCAGGCTACAAAACAGGAGATTATGAGTTCTAATCTTACTTTAGGCACAAAGCCAGCTGGGTGACCTTGGGCCAGTCACTCACTCTCAGTCCTAGGAAGGAGGCAATGGCAAACCACATCTGAAAATGTGTCAAGAAAACTGCAGGAATTTGTCCAACAGATGTCAAGAGTCAACAATGACGCACACACACACAAACACAAAGAACATCCACTCAATTGGATGTTATTGGATGAGGAGGTACTATAAAAAATGGGCAATCCCTGTAAAATCAGAATTTAAGTCAAGAAGGGCTATGTAGGTAATAAACAGGGCCTTGAATTGTACTCAGCAGCCATTAGGAAAGGGTACAATGACCTGATTTTTAAAGAGGCAACCTCTACACACCATAACGTTTGAAGTCTTTCCATCAGTGGGGAAGCCAGATTCACTTTTTTTTACTTAGTTAACAACTGCAGTGATTCACTTAACATCTGTGGGAAGAAGAGTGGTAAAATGGGGGGAAACTCACTTAACAACTGTCTTGCTTTGCAATGGAAAATGGGTTCAGTTTTGGTTGTATATCAAGGACTATCTATTTTAATTGCCACTATCATTAATAGACTTTTTCATAAACTTCTGGAATTTGCCTTTCCATGAGAAGACAGAAAGTTGTTATTCCATGCTCTAGAGAGTTATCTTTATCTGTAGGATACTTCTTCAGATACTTGAAGAGAGCTATTACTCCACCTCCAGTCATTTTTTTAAGGCTGATTGTGCCCTGTGAGCCCCCAGTTGTTCTTCACAGAATTCACTTCCTTAAACTTCCCTGAGCTACTTTGAGGTTGTTATTGATAGTTTAAGTGCGGTCATTGTGGTACTAGAACTGGATCAAGAGTTCAAATGCCAGTTCGGCCAAACTGCAGGACTTCAAAACATTGTTGTGCATGGATCCTGATTCCTAATGTGGTAACATTAGTCTTATTCCCTAAAAATGGGGGAAACACCATTAGATGCTGTTTGGAAATGATGAGAATCCCCTAAGCCTTCTCTTCTGGAGAGCAAAGTGTTTGAAGAAGACTAATCAGTGCTATCCTCTTTGTTTGCAAATATATGAAGTAAGATTACTACGACTAGGAAGGCCTCTAATGACAGCTATTTTAACCGGCTGCCATTTGAAGCTGGATTTTAGGGTGGCTGCTTACATGGAGCTCACGCCCAGCAGGACATTACAACAGCCTTCCTTTAAGTAGGTTTTAAATGCATTTTACTTTTCAATCTTTTTCAACCAATCAAGTTGGGCATTTAAAGAAGAGTAAACAACCAATATCTCAAGTAGCATGTTTTAATGCAATTGTATTGTGGGATCTGTTGTTTTTAATAAACTTGATTTTGCACAACACTCAGCAGTGTTGCAGATCCCTCACAGGTAATCCTTGACTAACAACCATTTTTTAAGCAACCATTTTAAGTTACAACATTGAAAAAAGTGACTTATAACAAGTCCTTGCACTTACGACCATCGCAGCATTCCCATGGTTACATCAAAATTTGGGTGTTGACAACCAATAAGAATTTACATTGGTTCCAGCTTACTGGGGTCATATGATCACCCTTTGCAATTTTCCCATAAGCAAAATCAATTGGGGGAGATGGATTCACTTAATGACTGCATGAATCACTGAACAGCTGCTGTGAATCATTTAACTGTGGCAAAAAATGTCATAAAATTGGAGATAACTCACTTAACAACCGCCTTGCTGAGCAATGAAAATTCTGCCTCCAATTGTTGTCATAAGTTGAGGACATCCTGTAAGGCAGAGGGGCATTATTTCTGATGGTTTATGGTCTGTAGGAAGCTTTGTGTGTTATGTTGGAGGCAGCAATTCAAAAGTCAAAGATCCAACCACCTCTGAGTATTGGCTCAGAGATTTTTTAGGAATAAAATGGGTATCTCAGCAACAGCAAGATTTGTTCTTAAATCCATTTAGCTTTATGCACAAAAAAAGATAGTCAGACAAATGTGAAACCCAAAACATATTTTCTACACACCTGTATTGCCCTCCTGTCATGCTCCCTAAGAGATTCCTTTACTTTACAAGATGCTTTTAGCAAAGTTTGGGCAGTCTGCTTCTCTTCCTGCCTCAGTTTCTTCCTGATGTGTAGATGTTACCACTGCTGGAGTTTAAAAATACACAGAAAGGTTTCTAACTGTCTTCTAAATCAGATCGGATATTCTAGGATGGTTTAAGCTGCTTTGAGAGGCTCATCATAGAGTCCTGCAATGGTACCATAAGGATTCAGTAGCAAATGGCCAGGCATCAGAAGCACAATTTCCTATGAGAAACAAAGAACACAAGTTACTTTAGGCTTCCAGTTAAGTTGCCCAATTAAAATAAAAATGTTCTGCAGACCCATCCTCGGTCCAAAAGTGATGCCATGACAAAAGCACATGAGATAATCTCTGGCCCGCCCAGCAGAGGCATCAACTTGGGTCATGTTCTCAGTAATCTTCTGCTGGCCCACCTTTATATGTTACTCACATACATTTCCGCAGGGATTCAGCCAACCTCGTGGAGGGAGTCATGAAAACAATTCCAGGACTCTTCCACCTGGGAGGAAGTGCTGTTGACTGTAAAAGCTGCCACTTCCCATCCGAAGCTCATGAAGACGATGATGATCTGATCATTCCATTGTTCCTCAAACAGGTGACCAGGAAGATAAAAGCCTGTGAATCATTCCAGTTGGATCTAGGGAAGAAGAAAAAAGGAACACTGGGGCCATTAAAACTCTTGTCCTTCTGACCCGAAGATCAGTCTCGGGACAACTGCTGGATGTGGAGTTCATTTTTGTCAAAGTGACAGAAGGAAAATACACAAGGTTGTTTATTTCCCTTATTAAGGAAGGGAGAGCAGTTTGGAGTGTCCTGCCAATACCAAGAATATGGCTTTGCTGAAACTGGGTGTTGACTCTCGATGCAGTGAAAAAAAATTCCCCTTTACCATAAAGTGAAAGGAACGTCCGATGCTGTAAAGATCTATACTCCATAGGAACCAGGAATGTAAGATCCATGAATCAAGGCAAGCTGGATGTGGTCAAACAAGAGAGGACACTTTGGCCACCTAATGAGAAGGAAGGACTCACTGGAGAAGAGCCTAAGAGCTGGGAAAGATTGAGGGCAAAAGAAGAAGGGGACAACAGAGAATGAGATGGCTGGATGGAGTCACTGAAGCAGTAGGCATGGGCTTAAATATACTCCAGAGGATGGTAGAGGACAGGAAGGCCATGAAGAATGTTGTCCATGGGGTCGGGATGGGTCAGACATGACTTCGCAACTAACAACAACAAAAAAGTTCACCAGTATGCTATCAATTCTTTCTGCCTTTTTCCCTCATTTTCATTCCATTTCATGGGAAATAAAATTGCTATCAAACTCCTCCTCCCCTCCCCACCTGAAATGGGGGACTTTTTTGTTCATTCTCAAAGGTGGGGTACAATGTTCTGCCTTCTACCATAGTGACTTCATGTTCAAGAAGTTTAGTATAGTATTCCCACTTGCAGTGCATAATCCTCTTTCCGTGATCATTGGCCTCCTGGCTTCTTACACTTCCAATCAATTGCAAGGGAAATTCCCAGGGAAAAATTCCTTCTAACAGCAACAAAGACCAAGAGGTGATAAAAACCATTGAGATGTGTCAAGAAGTAAATCCTGACCCTGCACTATGGACACAAGTACAAAAAGAGCAATTTCACTAGATGCCACGTCTGTCATCTTGTCTTTTTAGATCCTCCTCCCATTGTCCACTCCCTAGGGAACTTTTTTACATCAGGAAATGCAGGGAATCTGAGAAAGTGCAGTGATGGAGCAGTCTGTAACAGAAAACTAAAAAATGCCTGCATATTTCACCAACTTGCCATAATAGGACATGGCATTAAAACACACACACCAAATAAAGATAGGTAAAAACAGGCGATTGATAGGTAGGTAGGTAGGTAGGTAGGTAGGTAGGTAGGTAGGTAGGTAGGT